TTTTCCAAATTATAATTATAATATATAATATACTTAAATTAATCAAAATTATATTTATTTATATTAATTATTTTCCAAAAAAAATATAAAATAATAAAATTCAATAAATAAAATTAATTAAAATAATTAAATTAAATAAATTTATAAAATTATTCCCAAGAAAAAAAAAAATCTATAAATTAAATTTTAAATAATATTTATAATATATATATATATTTAATAATTCCCTTTTATTTTCCAAAAATAAATATATTTAAAAATATAATTTTAATTAATTTTTATATATTAAAATTTATAATATCCCGTAATCACAAAAATATATAAAACCTCCCTTAGCAACCCCTATAACAACCTATGTAATAAATATATCATTAAAATTTCTATAGATATTAATTAATTATTCGGAATTTTGAGAATTAAATTTGCTTTGATTTTATATAATTTTATAATATATTATATTTTAAATTATATATATATTTCTAAATTTAAAATTTATATATATATATATTTAATTATAAAAATATATATATATTATATATATTTTTTAAAAATATTTTTTTTCCTTTTTTAATGGCATATTTTCTGACTCCGGAACCTGTTTCCCTGATTCCAATCATGGTGAACCAAAAAATTCAGATAAACAGACTCACTATATTGCGGAATAACAATAACACTTTTTCGTTCGGGATTCAGGGTTCCTGGCGTGAAACAACGACAACTTTCTTCCTCAGTACCTCAGAATTGCAGGGAACATTCCCATGAGTGCTTGGTGCCAATGTTTTTAGCAGCGGATCGATACCCAAACTGCACCTGAGCATCCAAAATATGTATGATACCCCAAAGGTCAGTGATCTATTATCACTTGGCCAAAGGAACAACATGCAGAGTGGATTCGTGGATTCTCCATTTTTCATAACACATAGATGATACATATGATACTTAAAAAAACACATCACATTCCTGATTCTATGGCTGAAGAAATCCCCATTGTTGACCCCATTCCCATTAACACCCTCTAACCACCGTTGACCATGCCATTGACATTTCCTGGGGGTTCACTCCACAGAACTTCACACCGGTCTGTTTCTTGAATGCTTGGATTGGTCCAGAGGGCTCTGCTGGAGGCCCCCGATCGCAAAGATAGCAACCCCAAAAGAGCTGACCAAACCTTGCAGACCCTGTTAGTGGCTGATGGGTAAGTGGCGAGTTTTTCTTTCGAACAGGAGCCGCCACAGCCTCTAACATTCGAACATCCAGCGGCTTTGCGCTGAATCGAACGTCGGACACCTCCCTTTGCACGTGCCGCCAAGGCCCAGCACTGGTGGGGCTGGCAGGAAAACACTTCAGATGCGTTGAAGCCGCAGGCCAGAAAAGGGCTTCCCCGAAACTTAGAGCCCAAAACAAAGTTGCAAATCAGCAAGTTCAAAGGATGATGAAATACTATGTATATATATACATATATATATATATATGTACATTTCTCAATTAACATAAATAATTATAAATCTATATCACAGATCATTATTCATCATTATAAATCATTACAAACCAGTATTCATCATGATATATATATATTTCATTGATATGTGTGTATATATATATGATGCAGCCCTCCCTGTCCCCCCACCCCCCATTTGGGGTATGGGTCTACAGATCCATGGGGTCTATTGGGTATATGTGATAATATATAGGTACAAAGGTAGTGATGATCCCCATATGGGGGGTAAAGGCATATATAGATGTGTATGAGCTCATATAGGTATATAGGTATCGGTGATCTCCCCCTCCCCCCCTGTGGGGTAGGTATGTAAAGGATAGTTATAACATACTGTACATATATATATATATCGATATATATATATTGATATATATATATATATTGATATATATATATATACACATGAGTACATATGTAGGTATATAAGTGGGTATATGTAGTGGGGATTCTCTCTCCTTGTGTGTGAGGGCTACATTGACACAAGATCGTCTTAGATACTAGGTGTGTGTAGGTATATACTGTATAAGTATGTATATATATAACATATGCTAAAAAACATAAGATAGTACAGATATATAGATATAAGATAGGTAGGATAATATAGGATAGAATATAGGTAGCATATAGATAGTATATAGATAGTATATAGATAGTATATAGATAGTATCTAGGTAGTATATAGATAGTATATAGATAGTATATAGATAGTATATAGATAGTATTTAGATAGTATTTAGATAGTATTTAGATAGTATATAGATCTTTTGTAGATAGCGCATAGATAGTAAATATATAGCATGTAGATAGTATATAGGTAGTATACGGACATAAGATCTAGCAAGATGGTTTATCCGGGGTATAAAAGGGATTATGTATACGTAGGAACAGGTCGTAGGTAGGGAGTTTGATTTTAGTATGTGCATTGCATGGCTAGCATTCCTGGGGACCCAACCCAACCCATTCGAGGGGGGTCTCGTGGGTGGGAGACGGGATCATATATCTATATCTATATCTATCTATCTATATATATATATATCTATATATCTATATCTATATATATATATATCATTATATATATATCTTTATAAACCGTTAAAAAACATAGACGGTCATTTCCAGTACATGGAACGAGCTTGAAACCATTTGTTCAAGTATTTGTGGCCCCATATTGACTCCGACGCGCAGCATTTAAAGACTTCTCGCTGTGATGGAGCCGCTTATCAAAGCTGGATCCTGCAATGGCGCGGCTTGGCACACCATCAACATCCAAGACATAATTGGCAGTATTATTGTGTTTAAACCTGTCTTGCAGTATGTTGTATCTACAATGATGTTACTGTATGTGATCGCTTGTGTGTGTGTGTGTTTAATCATGTAATAAACCCTTAAACTCTTTCTGCAAGCCTCGTTCCTGTAGCCCAGACGAAAGCTGCAGAATAAGAGATTGACATTTGTTCTCCCTTAGCATTGACCTCATAAAGTGATATCTCAAATATTTAAGTGATATATCAAATACATATTGCTTATTAACCATATATTCATTTTCACATATCAAGTAGTGATAAATATTCATGTATCATTCAAATGTCACTTACCCAACCTCATTGACTGCGTGTACATGCCAATCCCCCAAAAGTCATACCGAAAATAATAGCTATGATAGCAGTGCCGCATTCCGATCCAACGGCTCACCAATTTGATTATCTTTAATATTCTTTAATTAGTGACTCTGGACTTTTACTCATTGTTGAGATCAACTCGACATTCATGGAGTTTATGTTTTGCATGTTTTTATTGGCTAATCCTAATGTTCTTGTGATGTCAATCGATGATCATCCCCAATGAACATTGGATAGATTTGGACAACATTTCACATAAGCCATTTCTCATTTAGTTCGATGATTTTCCTGCTATTTGCACGGCAACTCTCCAATGGCAACCACTTAAAATACCCGGCTAACCCCCGTTAGGAAAGGCCGGCGTCCTCATGCGAAGGCAGCAACCTTACGCCGAAGGCCGGCTCCAGAACACCCCAAGAGAGGTCACTTGGTTTATAAGAGCAACAAATATAAAGAATATGTATGACATATATATATATATGTATGTATGTATGTATGCATGCATGCATGTATGTATGTATGTACGTATGTACATGGATCTATAATTACAGTACATTTAAATCCACACACTATATAATAATATATATATATATGTATGTCATAAATATATACATATTTCGTCAAGTGGGTTTCGAAACAAGCTAGAACTGTATACTATGCAAGTGTATATATATATAGTATGTAATATATTATATTAAACATGCTAACCGATTTATTCGAGTGATGTCGGTTTTTGAAATGAACTTAGAACTATGGGGTTCCACAGTAAAGATACGGAAGATCCACCATTTATGTACCCTCTGGTAAACTAACAGTTTGCTATTGAAAATGGTGATTTAATTCGTGGATTTACCCATTAAAATGGTGATTTCCCATAGTTATGTGACAGTTTACAAGAGGGTAAATACCGCTCTGGGAAGCATTGCCCTTTTCCACATGTATCTTAGTTTGCCAACTCGGGGAAGCAGAAAACCTGAGATTTTTCCGAATCTGTCAAGAGGCCACCGGGATGAACCGTTTCCTAAAGTGGGGGTACCCCCCAGTCATCATTCATTTTAGATTGGGCTTGTCCATGCTTGTCCATTACCATGCAGCTGGGGAAAAAAGGAACGCCAAGGTGCTACTGCTAGCGCCACTGTCATCGAGAACGCCGAGAACCCCGCGCGGAAGGCACTTCCGGAAGCGGTTCCACCTCGAGTCGTGTCTCTGAATGAAATGTTTCGAACATTTCCTGTGGATGGTTGCGAAATCCTGCACCAATTGGTAGATGGTAAACATCCCATTATTATGTTTGGGTTTCAACCATCCGTTTGGTGGTGCAGGATTTTGCTGGCCCATCCACAGTATAATTACCATTGTTGATACGATTGGATTGCCAGCAACAAAGGTCGTAAGGTCGTATTGATGGATGATCGTACCCTACCCAAAAGCAACATAGACTCTGAGTGTAAACATGTGTAAACTATAAAGATGATGGCCGTGAGTAATAATCATGTAATGTAGGGTACGAGTATCTAGCAGACCATTGCAATGCGTAACATCATGGGGATATAGTGAGGATACAGTGCCCGTTGCATGGCCAGAAACAGCTGGTTTGCTATGACTCTTGCCTCAAGATGTTTGGAATGGTTGTCAAACTGGTTCCAGACCAAAACACTATAACACACAAGAATATGTATGTAGATTTATTCACTATATGATACTATCTTAGTTTTTATGACATCCGCATTACATCCACATTGCATCACATTGGGTCTGAAAATCCACTGGTTCAAAACCTCATACTGTCTCAGCCAGGCTGCAAGTGGCTGTTCCCATGATTTCTTTTTGCACTGCACAGCTGTCCTTAGCAAAACTGCTTGGTGGTTTCAACCCCAAAAATATGAAAGTCAGTTGGGATATGTTGGGATGATTATTCCCAATGTATGGGAAAATAAAGCATGTTCTAAACCACCAACCCAGCATGTTTTGGAATGTTTTGGAATGATCGTCTGACATCAGAAATAGAGTAGATAGTACCCCTCTTGAATGGCGCCCCTATCCTCAACAAAGAATGTATGCATGTAAAATGCATGCATTAACATTTTAAACTGCATTACTTTATAACTTTACACTACTTTACCTAACATGACATAATATTACATGCATGTTTGTTCATGTTTGACCACCATTCAACGTAGTTGATGGATCAAAGATGGTGTACATATTTGGAAAGGAAACCTCTCAGCGGCCTAGGCCTCTTGTTGCCCTGAAGGACATCAGTGATGGGGTAGCCAGACAACTGATTATAATCCAATATGTGTGCTAATTTACATTCATTTACGATGGGTGATACTCGCATCAAAAAAAAACAAATATGTGTTTCCAATACTTGGTTCCATGTGTATTTATCATATTTACATATGATTACCCTCTGGTAATTTAACAAAGCTATTGACAATGGCCATTTATAGTGGATTTACCAATTAAAAATAGTCATTTTCCATAGTTATGTTTGTTTACCAGAGGGTAATATATTATGTATGCAATCAGGTCTCTTTCATGGTCTCAAAACACCAAAAGCCCTGAAAAATCCAATGCCTCCTCGAAGCCCAACGTCTAGTCGGGCAAGGCGATG